TGTGAGAGTACGTAGGGTTTGATTAATTTGTTTTGGGTATGCTGCTGGATTTGGTTATGCCACTTTCACTCTAGGGTTTTCTCGGATAATGTGAGTCTTTCCGACTCCGTGGAGCGAGTGGAGAGTGTCGATGTGGGTTATTGGAGACATGGGGGGTGTTGTTGGGGAAATTAGGGTTATTGAATTGGGTAAATTGGGCGGCAGAAGGGGGAGGAGAATTAATTAGTTGCATATTAGGATTAATGCTTTATGACTTATGACTTATAAGTTATGAGTTGCAGATTAGGATTAATTAGTTGCATATTAAGATTAATGCTTTATGACTTATGAGTTGCAAATTACTTTCCAAATGTCAAATGAATTAGTATTTTGAGTAATACTAAATTTCAAAGAGAACCAAAATATGTTTGATTTTGACTTTTAATTATTTGTCACTCAACAGCAGAAAGATTAAAGTTTGTTGTGTCTAAGAGTGTAAATAACTAGTTTAATCCATCTTATATGTTTTGTATCTTTTGAGGATTATAGTCAGACCTTGCTTTTATATAGAAGGATTATAGTCATGGACCTTGCTTATTATGTGCATCCGTAGTTTTTCCATGTGCATCCTACCTTTACTTATTATATGTTTTGTATCTTAATTAGATGAAGTCAAGTGCATCAAAGGCCTCGAGCTCAAGCTCAAACTCAATGAGATCATCAAATAGCTCCCGTGAAAAAATAAACTAATCTACGTCTACTCCATCGCAAGTGAGTTGTCATCTCTATACTTTCTCTATGGTTCTTATGTCTCAGTTTATTTAATAATTAATTGTAATGATTCTTTCTATTATTTTTGATGGACATTGTTGGTGAATCAACTCCACCTTAACTCCCCATGGTGGCAACTCAACAAACTCCTCTTACTCATGATGCATCCAAACAATCCTCTGATGCAACTCCAAAAGAAGGTTGCTTAAGTGATCAAGTAAGTAAAGATGACACTTTCTTGGATTCACTAAAAAGTCATGAAAGATCTACAATTTGGGAGCACTTTGATAGGACAATTGAGGGAGGTTGAGTTAAAGGAGTGTGCAAGTATTGCAGCAAATCATATATGGCCGACACGGATAAAAATGGCACAACTAGTATAAGAAATCACTTAGCTAGATGTAGGAGCTACGGCCCTAATAAGGAAATATTTGCTGCCAATAGGCAAAAGATCTTAATCTTTGCCAGCACAAAAGATAAGTTGGAAGTTATAGGCTTTTCTCAAGTGGAAGTTACTAAGGCTTGCGTTGAAATGATAATTATATATGAGTTACCTTTTTCCTTTGTCGAGGGAGTGTTTTCGTCATTTTTGCATGCATGTGTGTTCTTTGTGGAGAGTGTCTAGTCGTAAGACAATAGCTAAAGATGTACTTGGCTTGTTTTACTCCGAAAAGGAGAAATTGAAAAGTCAGTTGTAAGACATTTAGGGTGTGTCTAACAACAGATACATGGACTTCTATTCAACAAACAAATTACATAGTTCTCACCGCTCATTTTATTGATGATGATTGGATGTTACATAAAAAAATTTTGAATTTTTGTGTCATTCCAAATCATAAAGGAGAATCCATGCTCAACTTTTGAAGGAGTGTTTGGTGGAGTGGAGCATAGAAAAGGTGTTGACTATTACGGTTGACAATACTTCAACAAATGCTTCTGGCTTAAAGGATTTGGTGCACCGAATAAGTGGGTGGGGGATTCCTAATGCACTTTTGCACGATGGAAAATATTTGTACATGAGGTGTGTTGCTCATATTCTTAATTTGGTGGTGAATGATGGGATAAAGATGTTGAATACCGCCATACAAAGCATTCGTAATGCAATTAGGTATGTAAGATTTTCCCCTCAAAGGTTGGAGAGCTTTAAAAGGTGTGTTGAGAAAGTGAGAATAGAAAGTAAAGGGCTTGTGATTTTATATGTCTCTACTAGGTGGAATTCCACATTTTTAATATTGGAATTGGCTTTGAAGTTCAAGATGGCTTTTGATAGGTTGAAAGTAGATGATGGTCATTACCTTCCTTACTTTACTAAAGAAAATCATGATAATATAAGGGAAGGGCCACCTTTTACTCATGATTGGAGTGAGGCGGGAATATTTGCATCCTTTTTGAGACCTTTCTATGAAGTCACTTTAAAAGTGTGTTGTTCTAATACTTAAACAATTCATACTACTTTTTGTGATTTGTTTAAGATCAAAAGTCTCCTCCTTGAAAACAAAGATAATGAATTCTTGTCTATGATCTCCATGTTGATGCAAGAAAAATATGACAAATATTGGGGTTCAATTGAGGATATGAATCAATATGTTTTTGTTGCACTTGTGCTTGATCCTCGCCATAAATTGGAGAAAGTGGTTGATTATTATGAGATACTATATGGCGAGGACGAGTAAAAAGTTGAAAGTGCAACCAATGTGGTGAAAGATTTGTTGTTTGATCTTTACAAGATTCATAAAGAGTTGTCTTTTGAAACACAACAAAGCACAAGTAGTGGTGGTAGTTCTCAATCGGCAACTACAAGTAGAGATCCTTTATCAAGCATAACAGAGATTGAAAGAAAGTTGAATGAGAAAAGTGAAATGAGACAAACAAAGAGAGCATGTATTGTGCACAATGATTTGGATAGGTATCTTTTGGATCCTTGAAGGGGATGAATGGGCTTTCTAAGTATCCTTATTTGGCATGAGTTGCAAAAGATATTTTAGCTATTCCCGTATCAACCATCGCTTCGGAATCCTCCTTTAGCACAAGTGGACGAATAATTGATCCATATTATAGTTCTTTGAGTCCAAAAATGGTGGAGGCTTTGATATGTACACAAAATTGGCTTAGGTCAATTTGTGTAGCATTACATCATAAGCCAACCATTGAGGAGATTGAGTTTTGTGAAGAAGTTGAGAAAGGTAATTTTACTTATTGCATTTGGTTTTGTTAGACTATTTTAATTAGATGCTATGTTGCATGCTTGCTTTACATCATGTTCTTTCTTTTTTTATTTGTATGTAGAAATGGAAAGTCGAAGCTCAAAGAAAGGTGCTATGTTGCCTCCTAGGCCGCCTAAGTGTTGAGCTTGAGCTTGAGGACTTGGAAGATTTTATTTGTGCAAGACATGAAGTGATGAAACCTTGAAGGTTTATTAACTTTATTTGACTTGTGTGATGTTTAAATTAGGACTTTTTGAAGACTTAAATTTTGATGTTTATTTTAAGTTTGGGCTTTGGAAGACTTTATATTCTAGTTGGACTTCAAATGTTTATTTTCATTGTCTTTGATTCTAGTTGGAATTCTTATGTTATGATTGTTGGAGATGTTAAAATTTCATATTTCAAAATTTTTCATTTTTTGAGACTTTTATGAGACTTTATGTTTTTAGATTAATTAGTAACTTCCCCCGTGAACCCATCCCTGGAGAGAAGGAAACATCACCGGTAACTTCCCTTATGATTGTTGGAATCTTGGAGATGTTAAAATTTTTTCATATTTCAAAATTTTTCATTTTTTGGAGGGGGAGGAAAAAAAAAAAAAAAAAACCGAAACCAAACCAAAACTGAACCAAAAAAAAAACCGAACCGAGAAAAAACCGAAAGAAATTGAACCGAACCAAACCCAGTCCTAATCAAATGTGCATAGCGTTTCACCTAAGATTTAGAAATATCCAAAGCTCTTATTGAGACGTCATAGCTTGCGGAACACAACTTCTTCTGCCCTTGCGTGCCGACTGAGATATAGGAAAGTGCCTTCATTTTCTCAACCTACAAAACTACTTTACGATTATTTAATGAAAATATCCCGGATTTACACCGTAATTAGACACAATTACTAGAAAATTAAGTCGTATTTTGGCAACGGTGCTGTGCTGATTATTGTTTTTTTAGTTTCTATTTTTGATATTTTTATTCGTAAAAAGTAAATTAAAATAACTTTAAAGAATTATTAGAAAGAAATGAAAAGAAAAAAGGGTATTTTGGTTCTGATTATCCTTTTCATGTTCTTGACTCTTGACCCAAATGTTGTGTTTGTCATTCCGCAGACATTTGACCAGCACCAGATAAGCCCTGCATGTCGTTGGCCCCTCAAGCAGTCGTTTTGTGTGTTATGGATAAGTGAAGGAACATGAAAAAATATATCAATTTTCCACTTATATTATGATATATGAAGGGCTGCTTGAATAGCGTACAAATAGATAGACCGGATCATTCTTTTTATGTTGAACTCAACTTAAAAATATAAGTAGTTGAGCAAACATTTGTCCTACGAATTTATTATGATTGATTTATTATGTGGTTTAGTCCATATTAAAATAAAGTATTAGTATTTTATTCACACTATTTGATAATTCAGCCTTTGCGAAAGAATAAGCAAAAGGTTCTCGTTGGGTTCTAACATAAAATTTTGTGACTAAATATTAAATAATTGATATATTTTTATTTTATTTTAAAAAGGACCGAATTCTTTTGAAAACCAAAATGATTTATCGAGGCATTTAAATCTCATGATCATCATCTTATAATTCATTAGCATTAAGAATCGAACACAGAATATGCCGTGTAGAATACGGATCTAAATTTTTTCTCAATCGGACCACCACATGTTGGTTAAGTGATATATTTGATTGATCATATTGTATGTTTAAGATTAATAATAATAAAGGAAAATTAATGGAAATAGTTTGAAAATTTTGAGTTTTAGCGATAAGGACAAAATAAAGGATAAAGTAAATAGTTTCAGGATTAACTTTTTAATGTAAAAATATGATTTTCAGTTAAATAAACCGTACCGAGAGTTTTTTTATTAAAATTCTCTAATAATAATTTTGATCACGTGTATAATTAAAGCTTATAAAGTGCTTTTGATAAAAACACAAAGTACATGGTTTCTTTCTTTCCAGTTCTATCGCTTTCGTTTTCTCCCGTGTTCTTTTGTGCGCCGTGGCAACGACTGTACTCCCCCATATTTCTAAACACCCACCGCCCCCCAACCCAAAACAAAAAATACACAACTCCATTTCTTCTTCCAACCCCAATTCTGCTATGATCGACGCGCCTCCGCCGCCCCCTGCACCGCCGTCCCTATGTTCTGGACCAAAAAGAGGACGCAGGTGATTGAGCCCAAGAGCCTCATCAAACACCGAGAATCCTCCTCATCATTCCCCGACCCCTACTCCGCCATTTGCAGCACCACCATCGACAACTCCAGCTACAACTTCTCCAAATCCTCCACCTCCTCCTCCTCCTCCTCGGTCGCCTCCCTCAAATCCTTTAAATCCTCCCTCCCTCAAAACCCCCAAATCTACGACCTCTCCGAGATCCGCTCCGCCACCTCCAACTTCCTCCCACACCGCCGCCTCTCCTCCTCCTCCACCTCCTCCTCCTGGCGCTGCTCCATCCGCTCCGAAGACGCCGTCGTCTTCCAGCGCAAGTCCCGCCTCCCCCTCTCCCTCCCCGACCTCCACCGCCGCCTCTCCCTCATCTCTAAATCCCACCACTCCAGCCTCATCAAGCTCCTCGGCGCCTCCCTCTCCGGCAGCTACGTCTACCTCGTCTACGAATTCGTCGCCGGCGCCAACCTCGCCGACTGCCTCCGCAACCCGAAGAACCCGAGCTATACCGTCCTGTCGTCGTGGCTCTCCAGGATGCAGATCGCCACCGACCTCGCCCACGGCCTCGATTACATCCACCACTGCTCCGGCCTCGACTCTACCTTCGTCCACAACCACATCAAGAGCTCCAGCATCATCGTCTCCGAGCAGGACCACCTCGTGCTCGGCGCCAAAATCTGCCACTTCGGTACGGCAGAGCTCTGCGGCGAGACCCAGGCTAGGTCGAACAAAATGGAGGGCACGCGCGGGTACATGGCGCCAGAATTTCAGCTCACCGGAATCGTGACCCAGAAGTGCGACGTCTACGCTTTTGGGGTGGTGCTCTTGGAGTTAATCTCCGGGGCGGAGCCGTTGAAGTACATAATGGACGGAAATGGCGGGAGCGGCGGGTATAGGAGGGTGAGTTTGATCGAGTCGGCGAGGGAGGCGTTGAGTGGGGGATGTGGCGGGGTGCGGAGGTGGGTGGATGGGAGGCTAAAGGATTCGTTTCCGATGGATGTGGCGGAGGAGATGGTATTTGTGGCGTTGGAGTGTGTGGAGGAGGATCCGGATAGGCGGCCCGATATGGGTCGGGTTGCCGGTTTGGTATCGAAGCTGTTTTTGGAGTCGCATAGTTGGGCGGAGAAGATGAGCGTGCCTATTGACATCTCTGTTTCGTTTGCCCCTCGCTGATTTTTTTTTTTTTTTTTTTTTTTTTCTGGGGTTCGAAATTTATTAGTTTATTTATTTATTTAGAGGTTTTATGTTCAATTTGATTGATTAAAATTGTAAATAATTATATGATGATGTGAATAATTTTACATACAAAACGATTCATTGAAACAAAGAATTTACAGAAAATTGATCTCACATCATTTTTGTGTTATGTTGCTCCATTTCTCCCTAATGCCCTCCAATCACTCACTTTCCCTCCACCCTATTTTATTTATATTTTCTCTCGTGTACTTTCCTTCCACCAATACCACAAAAAAAAAACTTCGAAAATAAAATTGAAACGACTATTGAGACATATTAAGTTCGATTGGATGAAACGAAAGGGTTTTCATTATTTGCTCTTAAATCTAATTCATATGGAGCATGTTAATTCCATATGCATTTTCCTTAAAATATCAACTATTCATGATAAAAAAACTGTGTGCGCGCAAAAATAGATGAACATGCAGATGATCATAGTCAAGTCTTAGATCTTCCTACTGGATAGAAAGACTTAATGCAGAGCACAACTATATAAAATTGCATTTTTGACTACCACAATTGGATATATTAATTAATAGGCTGCGTTAACAAAAGACTTAATCAAATCATATAATACTAATTAGCATTGTTAATTATTTTTGTTTGCACACCAAGTAAGAATGCATGGTTTCTCTCTTGGCTGTTCACTCAGAATTATCAAATTAATCGGCTAATGGTCTACTCCTTTCAAATTTACAACGCACTAATATGTAATTAAATGACTTACATGTAATCGTATATATATAATTTTATTCTTGTCTCCATTACATTCTCTTACATATATATATATATCTTTCTCATGAGCGTATATGCATCTCGTCATATGCAAGTTTTTTTTTCAACGAGAGGTAAAGATGTTACCTCCACCGAGAACTTATCTTCATAATGGGAGGAAAGCAAAACGCGTTGTTATTGATATGTTTCTAATCTTGTACTACAAGTTTCGTCAACAATTTAAGTTTCACATGAATTACTCTAATCATACCTAATCTTATGAGAACTGTACTATTTTGCTACCTAGGATGCACAAAATAAAATAGAATATACCCTCAACAATTTTACATGAAAATTGCCAAAGTGAGGTTCAGTAGAAAATCTTCATAAAAGTGTTCGAAAGAAATGTCTCTAAATTCCTCTCTAGCATCTCTCTAGGGTTTGCTAGGAGAGCGGTGGGGTTGATAATTACGGCGTCGGCCGTCTAGTTTTTGGTGGATTCTAGTCATTGAGTGGATGTTTATCAGATTAGCATGAGATATGGGGGAGAAAATTAGTGGGTTCTTTTGGACATGTTTGCAAGCAGTACAAAGGCGGATGGAGGATATGGTGATGAATGGCTCTCACTGAGGAGGGGCAAAGAGTTATTGTGATTGACGATAAGGAGGGTGTTTTGCTTCGAGCCAATAAGGTTTTCTTTGGTTGGGAGAGTGCTCTCATGCAAGCCGATTAACAAGGAGAGATTCAAGCATTAGATGGTGAATCTTTTGAGCCCAAAGGCTAGGGTTATGATAGTGGAGATGGACGATGGGTTGTTCTCGTTTGGATTCGAAAACATTCGAGAACATTCGTTAGTGTAGAAGGGAGGGCCATGGTTGTATGATGGTGCCCTCTTGGTGATGGCAGAGGCGGACAGCCTAGCGTATCCTGCTAGTATCCCGTTGAAGTTTCAAGAGTTCTGGATTCAAGTGAAGGGACTACCCCTTGCATATATGACTCGTCATATGGGGCAATTATTGGGAACTAGATTGGAGTGCATGTCCTGACTGATCAAAGCCGAAAGGGGGACCAATTTGGAAGCATTATGCGCATTAGGGTTGAAATTGATATTTCAAAGCCATTACAGCGTAGTTTGTTACTCTCATTCCAAGGCACAGAGGTGGGGATTGATAAACGATATGAGAAGCTTCATGTAACTTGTTTTATCTGTGGGATTATTGGGCATATGGAAGAGCAATGTGTCAGTTCCAAGGGAAGAATGAAGATGATCGTTCGAAGCTGTATAGACGATGGTTCTAAGAGGATGTGTTGGGGGATAATTATAGGAGGCCACGAGGTAAAAGGTTTGGGTTAGAGTCATCGCAGGGCTAGTCCATGAAAGTGCCATTGTATGTGGAAGAAGGAAAGAGCACGAAGAGTTCTGCAATTGAGGTACAGGGAATGCTGGAGGATGAACAAGTGACGACTGCTAGGGCTGGAAAAAAATCCCAAAAATCCCAAACCAAACCGAAAAAATCCCGATCCCAAACCAAAAAAATCCCAAACCAAAATTCCCGAAATTTTCGGTATGTAATCCCGAACCAAACCAAAATTTTCGGTATGGGATTCGGTATTCCATCTCCATTTTTTCGGTATTCCCATACCGAATTGAAATAAATATTATATATATATATAATTTTTTTTATTATAAGATAATTATTTCAACCGTTCATTGTTTTAGATTTAATCTGTATATATATATATATATATATATATACAATTACCAACAAGAAGGAAGCAACCACAAGCATCAACAAGATCAAGGGGACGAAGGGGCCGAAGAGGCCAACAATATTTATAGACTTTAAGCTCTGCTTTTTAGCTTTTGGTTTGTAACTTAATTATTGAAACTTTGGCTCATAACTAATTTTTTTGATTTTGGGTTTGTTACTTTATTTATAAACCTTGGCTTGTAACTACTATTTTTGCTTTTGAGTTTGTTACTTTATTTATTACTTTATAATATGTCAAATTTTAGCCCAAAAACATAATATGTCAAATTTTAGTCCAAAAGCCCAAAAACATTTCGGGATTCCCAATTTGTCCCGAAATCCCGAAATTATTTCGGGATTCCCGAAAATTGGGATTCCCGAAAATTTGGTTTGGGATTGGGATTGAATTTGGGATTCCCAAAAATTTCGGTTTGGGAATCGGGACAATGGTTTCGGTATGGGATCCCATACCGAACCACCCCTAACGACTGCAGTAGGACAGGCATTCAGCGAACATAGCGGGGCTGGGTTTGCCGCTATTATTATTAATGGTGGTATTAATCTGCCTGATTTGAATGCGGAGCTGGAGCTCGAGGAAATGATGGCAGATAACGTGGCAGAGAATTCGGCAGTTATGGCATGTCAACAAATCCTAGCAACACAGGAAGACGTAGGTTTGACTTTGTTTGGAATTAATTTGAATGCACCACCAGTGGGGCAGGAAAAGCATGGGCAGGTCCAAACAATTTCAGAGTTTGGAGAGCAAGTTGATGCACAAATCAGGAACGGGGTAACTGATGTTGGGCCTCGAGTTAGATGAGGTTTATTGGTGATACATCAGGTGGGTTCATTGGGACAGTTGGTGGGTGATGAACAGATTGGAGGGGGCCCATTACTATCAAGTGTTAAGGACACAAGGTTAGGTTCAGATTTGTTCCAACTGATACCTATCATTGAAAATTATCAGAGAGTTCGTAAAAAGAGACACCGAAGAGGGAGATGTGTGGGGGGTACGAGCAGTACTCAGTCTAGTGCACGGGCCCAGAGGGTTGCATCTCTACCTCTACTAGGGAAACGTTCTGCTCGTGGAGATGAGATTGTGGGGACGTAGCGTAAAGGTCGAAGGAAATTGGTTGATAGCTCGGTTCTGTCTAGTTCATCGGCGGAGGTTGACAGGGGTCAACCTCGCTGGCACCAATAAGTTGCCTAAGTTGGAACTGTCGGGGGCTTGGGAACCTCCAGGCAGTTCATGTACTTCAACGTTTAATCTCTAAGCAAGACCCCACTGTAGTGGTCTTATGCGAGACAAAAAGTAATTCTCGTCACATGAACCATTTACGTTTAAAGCTTAATTTTGATCGTATTTTTACCGTTGATAGTAGGGGTAACTCTAGAGGACTATGTGTTTTATGGAAGGATGAAATAAATTTATGTTTTCGATCTTATTCTTTGAACCATATTGATTTTGATGTGGGTGTACCGGGGGAGTCGAATTATTGGAGACCCTTGGCAGCAATGAGTCTAAACCCTAGTTATGCATAGGGGATTTTACTGAAATCCTCCAAGCTAATGAGCAGGAAGGGGGTAATATTCGAAATAATAGACAAATGGAGGGCTTCCGTAATGCAGTGAACCATTGCCGGCTTCTTGATCTTAGTTTCTCAGGGAATAAATTTACGTGAAAAGGTAGCATTAAGGTAAGGTTGGATCGAGCATTGAGTAATCAAGAATGGGTAGATTTCTTCCCACTGTTCAAAGTGCTACATTTGAACAAATCTACTTCTGATCATGTTCCGGTACTGCTTAATTGGTCAGGGCGCACTCCATTGAGAGGTAAGAAACAATTCCAGTACAAGGAAGCTTGGCATTTGTAAGAAGGTTGTTCTGAAGCTGTACGAAATAGGTGGGAACATCCAGTTATGGGTTTGCCAATGTACTAAGTTACCGAGGAGATTAAAATGACGTGGATGACGCTAAATAATTGGGCTAGTAGCAATGTGAGGCCCGGTCCAAGAGAGATTCGGGAAGTGGAGGATAAATTGACGACGTTGTTAGGCCAACCGTTTACTGAGGAAACTATCAAACAAAAGAAAGAGCTTGTGGTAAAGTTGAATAAATTGCTGGAAGAGGAGGAGCAGTTTTGGAGACAAAGATCGAAGGAGAATTGGATTAAGTTGGGTGATCGTAATACTAGATATTTTGATCAGAAGGCAAATAGGAGGCAACAGCGTAATAGCTTGTATGGGTTAATGGAAGATGACGGGATTTGGCGTGAGGATCAAAGCGGAATAGAGGAAGTTGTGGTGTCATATTTCCAAAAGCTCTTCACATCAAATGGGGAAGGAAACTTTGATAAAATTTTATGCCATGTAAACCCTTTGGTCATGGAGGAGATGAACAATTCTCTTGATTGCTCGTTCACAGATGAGGAAATTAAACATGCAGTCTTCTAAATGCATCCCACGAAAGCGCCAGGTCCAGATGGTATGTCCCCTAGTTTTTATCAAAAACATTGGAGGGTTGTTGGGATGGATATTTGTAACAGGGGTCAGGAGTATGCTTTTTTCAGGGCAAATATTGCGAAAAATTAACTACACACATGTTACCTTGATTCCCAAGGTTAAGGATGCCACGATGATGACACAACTTCAACCAGTAAGTTTGTATAATGTCTTATACAAAATTGTGGCCAAGGTACTTACGAATAGGCTGAAGCTTATTCTTCCCCATATTATTTCGCCTACTCAGAGTGCTTTTATTCTGAGGCGTTTAATTTCTAATAACTATTTAGTTGCTGCTGAGGTTGCTCATTATATGCATAAACGCTCATCGGGGTTTAATGGTTTAATGCCTTTGAAGTTAGATATTAGCAAGACATATGACCAAGTGGAATGGAATTTTCTTGAGGCCATGATGCATCGAATGGGTTTTTCAGATCGTTGGATCAGGATGATTATGTTATGTGTTACGACAGTTTCTTATTCTTTCAAATTTAATGGTTATCCCATTAGTTATGTGCATCCGAAGAGAGGAATACGGCAAGGTGATCCACTATCCCCCTACTTGTTTGTTATGTGTGCTGAAGGTTTATCAGCCTTATTGACCAAGGCAGAGATCGATAGAGTTCTTTAGGGCATCAAAGTCTGTCATGATGCCTCTAGTATTCACCATCTGGTCTTTGCTGATGACAACTTTTTATTTGCACGAGGGACTCTTAATGAATGTTAGAAAATTAAACAGGTGTTAACGAAAGTATTAAATGGTTTCAGGTCAAGCAATGAATTTGGAGAAGAGTTATGTCTCATTTAGCCCTAATCTTACAGGTCATAATCAACAGTTATTGGCGGATTGTCTTGGTATATGGCGGGTGGATTTTCATGATAAATATTTGGGGTTGCTGGTGTTAGTACGGCAATCAAAGAAGGAAACCTTTGCATATGTGAAAGATAGGTTGTGGAAAAAGTTGCAAAGTTGGAAGGGTGGCCTATTGAGTAGTGTAGGTCAAGAATTATTGGTGAAAACGGTGGCTCAAGCATTGCCTATATACTCTATGCAATGTTTTCTTCTCCCTAAATCGTTTTATGAAGAGTTGAATATGATGATCGCTAAATTCTGGAGAAGTGGTGACTTGGGCAAACGGAAAATACATTGGTTGAATTGGAAATGGTTGTGTAAGCCTAAGAATGAGGGAGGGCTAGGTTTTCGGGACCTATATGCTTTTAATCTTGCATTATTGGCGAAACAGGCTTAGCGATTTATCCAGAATTCGGAGTCTCTTGTTTTCCAGGTTTTCAAAGCCCGTTATTTCCCTAGGTCCGAGTTTCTGGATGTAGAGGTTAAGGTCAATAGCTCAAATGTTTAAAAAAGTATTGCAGCCTCAAGACTGGTGATCCATAAAGGCTATCGATGGCAACTGGGTAATGGGAGAAGTATTCATATATGGCGGGATAGTTTGGTGCCTCGTGAGTCTTTCCTCCATATTTTAACCCCACCACCGGAGCACTAGGACAATGAGGCTTCTGTGGGTAGCCTCTTCTAGATGGAACCGAAACAGTGGAATGTTCCGTTATTGTATGATTATTTTTCACCGGAGGAGGTGGAACTAATTAGAAGGTTGCCACTTAGCATTCGAGATGTCAAGGATCGTCGGATGTGGAATTACAAATGGAATGGTAAGTTCACAGTGAGAAGTGCATATTATGTTGCTCGGGGATTAATTTTAACTAATGGAGAGGGCGCATTGGGGTCGTCTTCCTTCTCTAGTGGTATAGGGGAGAAGTTATGGAAGAAATTATGGAATGCCTGTGTTCCGGGGAAAGTGAAAATTTGTGCTTGGCGTGCGTGTTTGGATTCATTGCTTGCTCGTTTAAATCTCAGTAAACACTAGGTAACGAGTGAAGAGAGGTGTGGGGTTTGTGGGGGGCAAGTTGAGTCAACGGAACATGTGTTACAAGAGTGCAGCATGGCAAGGGCGATGTGGTTTTGTAGTTTAGGCATAAGAGTGGATACGGGGAACCGAATGTCATTCATGCAATGGATGGAGAATATTTCCATGCTTTTTCCATTAAATGGGTTTGATCTTTGCTTGATGCTGATTTGGACCATTTGGAAGCATATAAATGATGTGATATGGAATGGTAGCTCGTTATCACCGTATGAAATTATGATTAGAACAGAGGGTTGGTTGCACGAGTTCCACAAATGGCATAAGACGGGGAGACAGAAGGTTAATTGAGTGGTCCAGAAGTGGCGCAAGCTTGGTGAGCATTGGATTAAATGCAACTTTGATGGGGCATGGCGTCAGAATGGACATCAAGAGGGGATACGGGGTGGTAATCAGAAACCATTTGGGGAAATTTTTGGCAGCTGCTGTAGGTCCAATCGTGAGCCCATCCTCTGCTATACATGCAGAATTTTTGGTTGCTCGTTATGCGGTGCTGCTAGTACAAAACCATTGGCCGGAGGATGGTCAAATTTATTTTGAGGGTGATGTGAGCTTGGTGATAGCTACTATGATAGGGCAGGGGGATGATTCTTCAACTTGTGGCCCTATAATTAATCACTTGAGATGCTTGCTTGCAGAAATGGCGCACTCGATAGTCAACCATGTTCAACGAGAAGGAAATGAGGCGGCGCATAGACTTGCTAAAATGGGTCTTAGTAGTTCTCAGGAGATTGTGTGGTTAGAGGAACCTCCAGATTTGATTCAGGATATATTAGTCGAGGAGGGCTTGTAAGTTGTCATTTTGCCTTTTGTTGTTAATTGTTCGTTTGGGGATATGTTTCCAGTTTGTGCGGGACACTCTTTTCCTTAGACCGAGTTGAAAGCCCCGACAAGGTTTTTATCGAGGCCCATTGAGCACACTATCCTTAGGATGTACGTATTCTTTGTTTGCTTAATGAATATCGTACCTTGTTTCAAAAAATAAAAAAAAATGTTCAAAAGATTCAGTGGCAGATCTAGAATTTTAACCTAGAAGAAATATAAAAGTTTCAGTCCGAAACGCTCTTCTGTCTTGAGCCACAAACTACCATCGTTTGGGCCTAATATGGCGCCGTCCTCTTTTGCAAACCCAAATCCCAAACCGACAATAAACCGCTATCACGACTTTAATTGATTAAGAAAAATTTCTTTTAAATGAGGCGGAAGAAGAAAGAAGAAGGAGAAAAGGAACAAGAAAAATCTGGTTTTTTTTTTTTTTTTTTTTTTTTTTTTGCAATCCGACAGCCCTCCCACGTATAACTTTTGAAATATTTTTTTGATTTTTTTCTAAAAAAGGTTAGAAAAATCTGGACCGTTGAGTTTAAATTTAACGGTCCATAAGTTGACACGTCATCTGACAGTAGAATTGAATTTTAAATTTTTTGACCGTTGGAAATCCAACGGTCCAAAATTATAGCCGTTGGGTATCTAACGGCTGAGAACAAACCATCTACTGCTGAGGGTGTGAGTGCGATGACAAGTAGGCCCAGTGCCTGCTTTTGGTCGGCTCACGGACCCTCTCCGCTTCATTTATCATTTCCGAAGCGTCTCTCTCCCCTCCATGTCTCTGCCTCAGACCAAAACTCTGCCATTCTCAACCGCACAGAGCCAGAACCTCACCTCCATCCTTCATGCCTGTTCCAAAATCACATAGCCGCCATGATCAGAGGTCGCACCTCCATTTCCGCGAACGGCGATCACAGCCATGGGAGTGGGGAAACCAACCACGATCTCCAACAACCCCCAAACTTGGATTAAAAACCCTAATCCAGGAATTTGCGACTCCGATTCACCCATGGCGTGTCTGCAGAGGTAAAGAATTCCACCTTTTTCTTGGATTTCATGACCGAAGGTCAAATGGAAACGATTTGTAACTCATGCATGTGTATTCCATTCTCTGTGTAGGGTTGGATCAGAAGCTATGAACAAAAAGATGAACGGAGATCCTCAGATATACCGGAAAAGAAAGCGGAGGTCCCAAAATCCATGGATCCGGGAAAGTAAAGGTAAAACTCACCCTCAACCTTTTGGGTCTGCAGTTCTTGGCAAAGATCGTGTCTTTTATATGTATGCAGCCCATTTCCTTTCTGGCGTATGTGTTGCTTTCTTGGCAGGTAACTTTGATCAGAAATGGCTATCCTCTGGTCAAAAGTGCACAGAAGGCCGCTGGCTTTTCCAGAACTGAAGAGACAAAAGGTAAAACTTAAGAATTCTCCTCTTCGAAAATTCAAAATTTCGGTCCAGAAAACTGAAAATTTCTCATGTGTTCTTCTGTGTAGGATCCCGAGGGCAAACTCATGGGCTTTTTGTATGCTCGGATCAGAAGGTCCCCAAACACACAGATCATCCAAAATAAAGGTATAAAACTTCAACCCTCACTGTAGCTGAATATCTTCGGACCCTGTATCTCTGTTCATCATGCATCTGTCAAAAGAATGTGATCTGTCTCTTCATGATTTAGCATATATGAGCATGTAAAAATCTTCAAGCGTTCGATGTAAATCTGTGTACGTGTGATCCGTGCATGTTTCTGTGTCCTTAATCATGCATGTTACTCACTGAAGATGCTGCCGATAAACTGATGTAAATCTGTGTTGCAGTGCCATGCTTGCATAAAATTAGACACAACGAATATATACTGGATCTGCAATGTGGACCCTCTGCATTTGGGCTCCCGAATTTGGATAATATATAGGATTCGAAATGAATGTCTATTAATTTATGGGGTGGGAGTGAGATGAGTGGAGTGAATGGGGGTCTAAATGCAAAAGCTTCATCAGATATCCCCTGGTACGATTTCTTCAACCCCTAGATAACTGCTGCTTGCTTTGAAGGTGCTTACAAACATGCCTAGGCTTTATCGGTTAAATAAGCAAACGTAGGAATGGTCTTAGACCATCTCCAACCCTTAGAGTAAAATCTAAAATTTTTAGCTCAGAAAATTTAGGTTTTAACTCAGAAACAACTTTTCTGCTCCAATTCTTCTGGCTTAAAATTTTAAAGATTAAGAATGAATTTAGGCTATTTTTTAAAAAATGAACTTTTAAACGAAAAAATTATGTAAAAATATTTAAATTCCGATAAATATTGAAAAATCACTAAATCGATATATGAAACACTATGGAAAAATATGAAAGACATGATAGAGATGTATAAACACAAAATACATATAAACACAAAATACTTGAAACACACAAGACACACAGAACACATATATGAAGCGTATACAAAACACATGATAGAGATGTATAACACACCAAACATGTGAAACACATGACACACACACCAAATACATATAAAACACATGAAACACAAACCTACACACATGAAACACAAACCTTCAATCATCCTCTATATAAGCATAGGTTGAATATCTAACCATCACACAACGTATTCACCAATCATCCAACTTTCAAAGTGTTTTTGTTTTCTCAAAATCATCAATATCTCATCAATGAGTGATAGAAGAAGGCGTAGCTTGGCACATGACACAACACCAAGCCTAGGCTTTATCGATTAGATAATAAGCAAACGTAGGAATGGTCTTAGACCATCTCCAACCCTTAGAGTAAAACCTAAAATTTTTAGCTCAAAAAATTTAGGTTTTAATTTAGAAACAGCTTTTCTACTCCAATTCTTCTGGCTTAAAATTTTAAAGATTATTAAAGAATAAATTTAGGCTATTTTTAAAAAAATGAACTTTTAAACGAAAAAATTATGTAGAAATATTTAAATTCCGATAAATATTGAAAAATCACTAAATCGATACATGAAACACTATGGAACAATATGAAAGACATGATAAAGATGTATAAACACAAAATACATATAAACACAAAATACTTGAAACACACAAAACACATGATAGAGATGTATAACACACCAAACATGTGAAACACATGACACACACAACCAAATACGTATAAAACACATGAAACACAAACCTACACACATGAAACGCAAACCTTCAATCATCCTCTATATAAGCATAGGTTGAATATCTAACCATCACACAACGTATTCACCAATCATCCAACTTTCAAAGTGTTTTTGTTTTCTCAAAATCATCAATATCTCATCAATGAGTGATAGAAGAAGGCGTAGCTTGGCACATGACACAACACCAAGCCTAGGCTTTATCGATTAGATAATAAGCAAACGTACGAATGGTCTTAGACCATCTCCAACCCTTAGAGTAAAACCTAAAATTTTTAGCACAGAAAATTTAGGTTTTAACTCAGAAACAGCTTTTCTACTCCAATTCTTCTGGCTTAAAATTTTAAAGATTATTAAAGAATGAATTTAGCCTATTTTTTAAAAAATGAACTTTTAAACGAAAAAATTATGTAGAAATATTTAAATTCCGATAAATATTGAAAAATCACTAAATCGATACATGAAACACTATGGAAAAATATGAAAGACATGATAAAGATGTATAAACACAAAATACATATAAACACAAAATACTTGAAACACACAAAACACATGATAGAGATGTATAACACACCAAACATGTGAAACACATGACACACACAACCAAATACGTATAAAACACATGAAACACAAACCTACACACATGAAACGCAAACCTTCAATCATCCTCTATATAAGCATAGGTTGAATATCTAACCATCACACAACGTATTCACCAATCATCCAACTTTCAAAGTGTTTTTGTTTTCTCAAAATCATCAATATCTCATCAATGAGTGATAGAATAAGGCGCTTGGCACTTGACACAACACCAAGCCTAGGCTTTATCGATTAGATAATAAGCAAACGAACGAATGGTCTTAGACCATCTCCAACCCTTAGAGTAAAACCTAAAATTTTTAGCTCAGAAAATTTAGGTTTTAACTCAGAAACAGCTTTTCTACTCCAATTCTTCTGGCTTAAAATTTTAAAGATTATTAAATAATGAATTTAGGCTATTTTAAAAAAAATGAACTTTTAAACGAAAAAATTATGTAGAAATATTTAAATTCCGATAAATATTGAAAAATCACTAAATCGATACATGAAACACTATGGAAAAATATGAAAGACATGATAAAGATGTATAAACACAAAATACATATAAACACAAAATACTTGAAACACACAAGACACACAGATTACATATATGAAGCATATACAAAACACATGATAGAGATGTATAACACACCAAACATGTGAAACACATGACACACAGAACCAAATACGTATAAAACACATGAAACACAAACCTACACACATGAAACGCAAACCTTCAATCATTCTCTATATAAGCATAGGTTGAATATCTAACCATCACACAACGTATTCACCAATCATCCAACTTTCAAAGTGTTTTTGTTTTTTCAAAATCATCAATATCTCATCAATGAGTGATAGAAAAAGGCGTAGCTTGGCACATGACACAACACCAAGGCTAGGCTTTATCGATTAGATAATAAGCAAACATAGGAATGGTCTTAGACCATCTCCAACCCTTAGAGTAAAACCTAAAATTTTTAGCTCAGAAAATTTAGGTTTTAATTCAGAAACAGCTTTTCTACTCCAATTTTTCTGGCTTAAAATTTTAAAGATTATTAAAGAATAAATTTAGGCTATTTTAAAAAAAATGACCTTTTAAACGAAAAAATTATGTAGAAATATTTAAATTCTGATAAATATTGAAAAATCACTAAATCGATACATGAAACACTATGGAAAAATATGAAAGACATGATAAAGATGTATAAACACAAAATACATATAAACACAAAATACTTGAAACACACAAGACACACAGATTACATATATGAAGCATATACAAAACACATGATAGAGATGTATAACACACCAAACATGTGAAACACATGACACACACAACCAAATACGTATAAAACACATGAAACACAAACCTACACACATGAAACGCAAACCTTCAATCATCCTCTATATAAGCATAGGTTGAATATCTAACCATCACACAACGTATTCACCAATCATCCAACTTTCAAAGTGTTTTTGTTTTCTCAAAATCATCAATATCTCATCAATGAGTGATAGAAGAAGGCGTAGCTTGGCACATGACACAACACCAAGCCTAGGCTTTATCGATTAGATAATAAGCAAACGTAGGAATGGTCTTAGACCATCTCCAATCCTTAGAGTAAAACCTAAAATTTTTAGCTCAAAAAATTTAGGTTTTAATTTAGAAACAGCTTTTCTACTCCAATTCTTCTGGCTTAAAATTTTAAAGATTATTAAAGAATAAATTTAGGCTATTTTTAAAAAAATGAACTTTTAAACGAAAAAATTATGTAGAAATATTTAAATTCCGATAAATATTGAAAAATCACTAAATCGATACATGAAACACTATGGAACAATATGAAAGACATGATAAAGATGTATAAACACAAAATACATATAAACACAAAATACTTGAAACACACAAAACACATGATAGAGATGTATAACACACCAAACATGTGAAACACATGACACACACAACCAAATACGTATAAAACACATGAAACACAAACCTACACACATGAAACGCAAACCTTCAATCATCCTCTATATAAGCATAGGTTGAATATCTAACCATCACACAACGTATTCACCAATCATCCAACTTTCAAAGTGTTTTTGTTTTCTCAAAATCATCAATATCTCATCAATGAGTGATAGAATAAGGCGTAGCTTGGCACTTGACACAACACCAAGCCTAGGCTTTATCGATTAGATAATAAGCAAACGTACGAATGGTCTTAGACCATCTCCAACCCTTAGAGTAAAACCTAAAATTTTTAGCTCAGAAAATTTAGGTTTTAACTCAGAAACAGCTTTTCAACTCCAATTCTTCTGGCTTAAAATTTTAAAGATTATTAAATAATGAATTTAGGCTATTTTAAAAAAAATGAACTTTTAAACGAAAAAATTATGTAGAAATATTTAAATTCCGATAAATATTGAAAAATCACTAAATCGATACATGAAACACTATGGAAAAATATGAAAGACATGATAAAGATGTATAAACACAAAATACATATAAACACAAAATACTTGAAACACACAAGACACACAGATTACATATATAAAGCATATACAAAACACATGATAGAGATGTATAACACACCAAACATGTGAAACACATGACACACAGAACCAAATACGTATAAAACACATGAAACACAAACCTACACACATGAAACGCAAACCTTCAATCATTCTCTATATAAGCATAGGTTGAATATCTAACCATCACACAACGTATTCACCAATCATCCAACTTTCAAAGTGTTTTTGTTTTTTCAAAATCATCAATATCTCATCAATGAGTGATAGAAAAAGGCGTAGCTTGGCACATGACACAACACCAAGGCTAGGCTTTATCGATTAGATAATAAGCAAACATAGGAATGGTCTTAGACCATCTCCAACCCTTAGAGTAAAACCTAAAATTTTTAGCTCAGAAAATTTAGGTTTTAATTCAGAAACAGCTTTTCTACTCCAATTTTTCTGGCTTAAAATTTTAAAGATTATTAAAGAATAAATTTAGGCTATTTTAAAAAAAATGACCTTTTAAACGAAAAAATTATGTAGAAATATTTAAATTCTGATAAATATTGAAAAATCACTAAATCGATACATGAAACACTATGGAAAAATATGAAAGACATGATAAAGATGTATAAACACAAAATACATATAAACACAAAATACTTGAAACACACAAGACACACAGATTACATATATGAAGCATATACAAAACACATGATAGAGATGTATAACACACCAAACATGTGAAACAC